CTTCTGTGGTAAGTCCAGTTCTGTGCTCCTCCAACTCCTCCACATCATATTCAGTCACCTCTGGGCCCAGGGGCACAATATAACATTGTTCTTAAAAACTCATGGGTTTTTGGAATGATAAACAAGTAGGGGCTTCAATTTAAAGTTTCCACTTGCATTACCACACAACAACAAACTGAGCCTGTCTTTCATTGGCTGGTATCCTGGCACTGACTTTTCCTCTTCAATTATGTAAGTCCTCTTGGGCATTTTCTTCCAGAAGAGGCCTGTCTCATCACAGTTAAACATTTGTTGGGGGAAAAATCCTTCAGCCTCTTCGTATGCTTGGAATTCAGTAACGTACTTTTCAACAGCCACTTTGTCAGCACTGGAAGCCTCTCCTTGCCTAGCCACACTATGAACACTTCTTTTCTTAAAATTATCAAACCAACCCCTACTTGCCTTGAAGAACTGCATTCCAGCACTTGTTCAGGGGTTTTTCCAGGTCATCATGTAACTGCCTTGCTTTTTCACAAATAATGGCCTCTAAAACACTATCAATGTGTAACTGTTTTTTGTTTATCCAAATCAAGTTTTTTTCAACTTCCTCAATCATTTGTGGCCTTTGCCTTGATATCACTTTTGTGCCTTTTGCAAGGTCAGCTGCTTTGATTTTTTCACTTTGGCCCAGTATTGTACTGATAATAGATATTGATTTACCAAAAAGTTTTGCTATATCAGCCATATGGAGCCTATCTTCATACTTTTGAATAACTTCTTTTTTAAACTCTACAGTGCTTTTTATGACACTTTTCTTTTTGCTTTCATCTCATTATCCTTCTTTGGACCCATGATGGCTTATCTCACAATGAAAAAACTGCACCAAAACTGCAAAATAACAAAAAAAGTACACAAGATGCACAACAAAAGCTCGAGATGTTTACAGCACACGAGTGTGGCTATACTAACCTAGACCCATGCTGTCGATTCATTGTCTGGCAAGTCACTTTGTCCTGTTCGCATTGTCCATCGACAACCAATAGCATGTACAAAAACCAGTACATTTTTTTCTCTCAAATTCCTCATTCAAAAACCAATTTCTTTGACGAGTAAAGCATTCAACAACTGAGGTTCCACTGTGTATACATCATCAAAAACCATACGTTAATCCAAATTACTTCGGTTCCACTGTATATACATCAGCAAAAATCATATGTTACTCCAAATTACTTCACTCATAACTTGGTTAAGTTAGGACAAGTGCACTATACAATTAAAAGTATAGATAATACACTATCTTTGAGAAATAATAAATCATAGTTAGAAAACAAACATTTTATTGATAAGCAATTTATACATAATTTTAACAAAATTATGACAACACAGAACATGGAATGATAAATATTATATCTATTACCACATTTTTCTCCAATGTGACAGTGTGACCTACCAAACCCTCATCAAACATTTCAAATGAATTAACAATGGGAAATCACTTCACTGTATTCATAGAGAAGCATAAACATGTACGTGAATTATTTTAAGCATTAAATATGTGCAATTTAAGTACACAAATTTCCATGTTGACATCACTCCAGTGAGTTAGTGCTTCTCTGTGAATATTATTACAATATAATCATGATGACATTGTGGTTTGGATCTAGTTGAATGAATGATCATCTTGTCTTCACACAATGCAAATATGCAGTTTTCTTTTTTTTCTTGTGGTTTTCAGCTGTCAGCCTTATTCTGTTTCAGGTAAGCAGGGCTGACCAGAACTTTGAACTCCCTTACAAATAACTAAGAGCACTGGTACTCTTGCAATAGCAAGAGATAATAAAGGATGACTACACACAAATCTAATTAAGCAAAAATGTAGACTATATGAATAACAAGAATCTTAAATAAATACAAATTTGAATTAAGTGTTACACAGTCCTGCACAATGCAGTACATAATAAAAATAATAAATTTAAAACTCATAATGACTAGAATTGTGATTAACTCTCCTAAATTTTACTCAATACAATGAAAACCATATGTACATGTTTAATATAAGTGAAAGAACCCAAATTATTCCCAGTACATATACTGTACACTACATATTCTCAAAAATGGAAAGCTGTGTATGGTGTTTATCTCTGATCTTGACAGGTTGTTATTCTTGAATAATTCAATCAATTTCTACCTCTTGGTTTCTACAGTATATATAACTAATCAGTAAACACAACTTTCAAAACACAAGTTCTATAGCAAATACACTTATAATGAATAATCTAATTACATTATTTTTTTAAGATTCACTGAATAAATGAAATACATGTAGTTGTACAATTACAGTACTGTACATACATAATTTATTTCTCCTAAAATATATAAGTAGGCTATAAAAATCTCTAAGGTGTTGACATACATCATAATCCACCTTGTTTAAAATATTTACAGTATATTATTTACTCATAAGCTTTAAAACTATTTATTTAGCAAAAGGACAAAAGCTATTGTATATTGAAAAGATGAAAAGACACATCCAATATGTATCAGTATATTCTAGATAATTTTGACTAAACTATTTCACAAATAGCTTGAACTCTTTAAAGTAAGTCTTCATTTAATAAAGTTTTTATAACTTTATGAGTTGGTCATCACTGCTATAGGGATTAAAAGCTTTGTTCAAAACTGGCCTGCCTCATTAAGAGCATCACTTTATGAACAAGCAACACTCCTGAAATAAGTGGGTATAACACATAATGAAAAGCAAGGTTTTATTATAGACTACAGTTGTCAGGATTGAGCATTATATGTCTTTATAGCCAACCAACTGAATGTCAGAAAGCAAAAACTCAGATTGAGGCACAGTATACAACAAAATACTGGCAAACCCAATTTATTAGATATACTGTATACTCATCAAAATAGTATGCCTCACCCAGGAAAACATAATTATTCAATGATCCTGATGACACTTAATACCTAACATGGAGAATCTACTTGTATAAAAACTACTAAGCTGAAAAGCCATGATGATTCTTCTTGCTGCCAATTACAACATTCTAAGTAAACACATGAAGCACACCTCTTGGAGAGTTGGGTAGCTAGATTTAAACCAAAAATTGTGAAAATTGCAATCATAGGAAATATTTCTGAAAAATTGTGCATTTTTTTTGGCAACACACAAGTTTGCATTATGTAAATTTCACACCTCAAAGTGTGTTTAACCCTTTCAGGGTCCAAGGCCCAAATCTGGAGTCACGCACCAGTGTCCAAGAATTTTCAAAAAAAAAATTTGTTATTTTTTCTTATGAAATCGTAGAGAATCTTTTTGTGAAGGTAATAAAACAAAAAGTACGAAATTTGGTGGAAAATTGACGAAATTATGCTCTCGCGAATTTTGATGTGTCAGTTATATTTACGAATCGGCGATTTTGCCGACTTTGACTCCCATTTTAGGCCAATTAAATTATTCCAATCAACCAAATTCTTAGCTATTTCACTAGTATTTCTTCTATTCTATCGATTGAGCACAAGAAATCGCCAAGTCAACTGTTTCAACTACAAAATAAAGTGATTGGAATTGTTAATTTTGGCCAATTTAACACAAAGTTCAAAATATTCCAATTTCAAAATAGGGTCCAGAATGAACAATGTAGGTATTCCTGGCACTAAACTAACATTTCCTCTGTTCATTAGTTATGTTTTGAGGCTTTACAAATAAATTCCATTTTGATTTTTTATTCACATAATGAATTTTTATTCACACCAAAAAAATAGAAGATTTACTGTTATGCAATACTGTAATAATTGTATAAATATCATCACCCATATTTGTGAATGATATTAGACCACCAGCTGACGTGTATTAGACGTGTGAGGTCGTTTGTTTACTCTTGAATATCGGCAAAAATTTAACATTTTCCGCTACTTTGAGCTCAGTTTCAAGCCATTTCCAATGCAAAAAACCAATCAAAATCATCTCTATTCTGTAATATGTCTTCCATTCTATCAAATGAGACCAAGAAATCGCAAATACAACTATAAAAAACATACGAAAAAAAACACTGCAAAGTTGCTGTTTTAATCGAAAAATCATGATTTAATTTTTTTTCTCTCATTATACACAGTGTGCTGCAGGATCCGTTTTATGTGGTGCACACATACCACATAGATGTATTCTCTCATATCTAGGCCCAAATGTACCACTCACAGTTTATCAGAGTGAGCTGAGCTCATGGCGTAGATCTACGGTTTGGACCCTGAACATAAAGCCGTAGATCTACGGGACGGACCCTGAAAGGGTTAATGAATATAACTATGAATAAGTATACCCTCTAGGTAGTAGGTTGGTAGACAGCAACCGCCCAGGGAGGTACTACCGTCCTGCCAAGTGAGTGTAAAACGAAAGCCTGTAATTGTTTTACATGATGGTAGGATTGCTGGCGTCCTTTTTTCTGTCTCATGAACATGTAAGATTTCAGGTATGTCTTGCTACTTCTACTTACACTTAGGTCACACTACACATACATGTACAAGCATATATATACAGTGGACCCCCGCATAACGATTTTAATCCGTGCAAGAGGGCTCATTGGTATGCGAAATAATCGGTATGCGAATGAATTTTCCCCATAAGAAATAATGGAAATCAAATTAATCCGTGCAAGACACCCAAAAGTATGAAAAAAAAATTTTTACCACATGAAATACACATTTTCCTACACACAAAGAGAAGGATACATGCACAATAGTAGAGTAGTACATGCACAGTATATATTGTGCATGTACTAGTCTACTAAAATGAAGAATAAATGACACCTTTATTGAAGATGCAGCAATGACTGATGAGACACTGTTCCTGGGAGTGCCTTTTCCTCCTGAGTACTGTAGGTCCTGTTTGGTATTTTTCTTCCAGAACATGCCTTATCACACTGTGTATGTCACTACGATTCTTAAATCTCTCAAACCAACCTTTGCTGGCTTTAAATTCACCAATATGTAGCACTAGTTCCAGGCATTTTTCCCTGTTCACCTGGGTGTTAGTCGACTGGTGTGGGTTGCATCCTGGGAGACAAGATTAAGGACCCCAATGGAAATAAGTTAGACAGTCTTCGATGACACTGACTTTTTTGGGTTATCCTGGGTGGCAAATCCTCTGGGGTTAATTGTTTCTTGGTATATTCTCAATAAGCCACACCAACAACAGTGCTACAGCAGCAGCAGACGATGCTACAGCAGCAGCAGACGATGCTACAGCAGCAGCAGACGATGCTACAGCAGCAGCAGACGATGCTACAGCAGCAGCAGCAGCTGACAGTGCTACAGCAGCAGCAGACGATGCTACAACAGCAGCAGACGATGCTACAGCAGCAGCAGACGATGCTACAGCAGCAGCAGCAGCTGACAGTGCAGCAGCAGCAGCAGCTGTACCACCAATAGTAGCGATGGTTGATTGGGGTTTATTATACAACCTGGCCAGCTCGGAGACACGCACTCCACTTTCATACTTATCAATGATCTTTTTCTTCATCTCTATTGTAATTCTCACCCTTATTGCTGTAGGGTTGGCACTAGAAGCTTTCTTGGGGCCCATGGTCACTTATTTTCCAGATAAAGCACCGAAAACAATGTAATAATACGAAATGTTCCGATTGTATGCTTGGATGTTACCGCGGAGGCTGGCTGGTAAACAATGGCACGGGCGGCACATGTGAGGCTGGCTGAGGGCGCACATTGGACGCGTCTCGGACGAACAGCGGTGAGCGGGTTTTTAAGCGGTATGCGAGGCAAAATTTTTGCGATTAAAGCAAGCGGTATGCGGATTAATCGTTATGTGATGCCAACGGTATGCGGGGGTCCACTGTACACACCCCTCTGGGTTTTCTTCTATTTTCTTTCTAGTTCTTATTCTTGTTTATTTCCTCTTATCTCCATGGGGAAGTGGAACAGAATTCTTCCTCCGTAAGCCATGCGTGTTGTAAGAGGCAACAAAAATGCCGGGAGCAAGGGGCTAGTAACCTCTTCTCCTGTATATATTACTAAAGGTAAAAGGAGAAACTTTCGTTTTTCCTTTTGGGCCACCCCGCCTCGGTGGGATACAGCCGGTGTTTTGAAAGAAAGAAGAAGTATACCCTAAAGAATATATAACACAGAGTGGCTCACTGAGTATTTTATTGTTTAACCCTTTGAGGGTCGACAGGCCCTCTCCGAAACTCGTTCTCAGGGTCGGCCAAATTTAAAAAAAAAAAAATTATTTTCTCTTATGAAAAGATAGAGAATCTTTTCCCGATCATAAAGACACCAAAAGTTTGAAATTTGATAGAAAACTTACGGAATTATGCTCTCGCAAAGTTAGCGGTCTCGGTGATGTTTATGCATCGGCGATTTTGCCCACTTTGAGCCCCATTTTCGGCCAATTTCACTGTACTAGTCGACAAAAAACATGAATATTTCGCTAGAACTCCATTTTTTCTATCGAATGGGTGCAAGAAACCACCCATTTATGAAATTCAACTATCCAGTACAGTGGTCAGAATTTAGCAATTTTGCCAATTTCACACAAATTTCAAAAGATGCCAATTTCCGAATAGGGTCCGGAATAAACAAGAAAGACATTCCTGGCACTAAAATGACATTTCCTCTAGTCATTAGTCACGTCTCAAGGCCCTCTTATATTCTTTTGCTTTCACTTTGAATTTTTATTCTCACAAAAAATATAAGATTTACTGTTATGCAGACTACTGCATTAGTGGAAAAAATGGTATAAATATTATTGGTGCACTTGTGAAAGAATATTAGACTCACCAGTTGACGTGTATTGCATGCTTGGCACGATTTGTTTACTTTTGAAGTTTGGTAAAAATCGAACATTTCTGCTACTTTGAGCTCAATTTCAAGGCACCTTTCATTGTAAAACCAGTCAAAATCATCTCAATTTCTGTAACATGTCTTCCATTCTATAAAATGAGACCAAGAAAACTAGAATACAACAATAAATACCATACGAAAATACACTGCAAAGTCGCTGATTTATTCCAAAAAAATGGTCAGTTTTTTTTCTCATTATGCACTGTGTGCTGCAGGATTTTTTTTAGACTGTGCACACTGACCACATAGACCCATTCTTTCATATGAAGGCCTACCAGCTTTCTCCCACTAGATTTGAGGCCGCTAGAATTTATGCGTACTAGTACGTCAAAAACCCCTACGCGTAAGACGTACTAGTACGACCAAAACCCTCAAAGGGTTAATCCTTTGCTTTGTGATACCTTGAGAATGCTTTTCCAAATGAATCTGTTTTCAGTGCATATGTATAGTGTATTAGTAAAACAAAGGTTAAATGTGTCATTCTGAGCCTTCTAGAGCAATAGATACACTACACCACTACAATGATCCCACATGATGCTCTGCATAATATCACTGAAAAATTAGGTTCAGATCTTCAAATTATGAATTTTTTTTTTATTAACATTCTGATATCTCACAAATTATTTAAGATAATCTCTTGCAATATGACATGTAGATGCCTCAGCACAATGTGTATACACCCAATAAAATAAATGATCCCAATATTAATTAAAAAGTGAAGTTTAAAAATTTCTAAGCATAATTAGGTTTTTGTTTTTGAAGAAAGGGTTATGGTGGGTTAGGGGGGGGAAGATACCCTGCTTGGTCATGCAGACTTGCTTGTCTAATTACAATGCTTTCACTGTTTAGTCTTCCTTCATTAATAGTCAAATACCTTTCTGTTGTAACCTATAATCAGACACACAGAAAGGGGCAGTATGACCATCAGCCCTTGGTTGTACAAGCATGTTGTTGAGGTTAGATATAAGCCATGTACCTCACTCTCTGGGGGTGAAGTACATGGATATAGTAAACATACACATTTCTCTTTTCTAGTCCCTCTGAAGATGTGTGAATACATACAAGTGCACTATTCTTTTTTACTGTGATCATTTGCAAGCATGTGTGAGTGTGTTAGATAGGAGTGAATGGAGACAAATGGTTTTTGGGACCTGACAAGCTGTGGGAGTGTAAGCAAGGTAACATTTATGAAGGGATTCAGGGAAACCGGCTGGCTGGACTAGAGTCCTGCACTTTAAAGGAGGGGTTTGCGATATTGACAGTTTGGAGGGACATCTAACCTGTTGTATCTAAGCACCTCTGCAGAGACTGTGATTATGTATGAGTGACGGTGACAGTGCTGAATGATGAAAGTTTTTCCCTTCTTTTTGGGCCTTCCTTTTTGGGTCACCCTGCCTCGGTGGGAGATGGCCAAAGTGTTATATAAAAAAATATATAGTACATGGTACAGTATATGTCAAGCTCTTTAGCAAGTTCTGCATAAAAGCATATTTTGAAATTAATGCTTTGCCAAACTAGGCCAAGTGTACATTTGTTACAATACTACACAAAATTCAACCCAATATTACTCAGCATCAACACAATTTATTTTGTTGATGCTAAATAATACTACCATAACTAAACTTAGGCTAACCTTAAAGCTGCAGTAGCCTATGAAACATTTTATTATAGTAAATTTAGTCAGGTTGCCGAGTTAGTTTTAATTCAAAATTAATAATTTTCTTACCATACAAACTCGAGCAATATACAGTGGAACCTTGGTACTCGAACAGCTCCCTACTCAAACAAAGTTCAGCACTCAACCAAACAAACACAACCTGCCAGAACTTCGCTGTAAACTATTTCGTGTTTCTTTGCATTGTTTGGTGTGTTTTTTTATATTTGTATAAATAAGTCACCATGGGGCCTACAAAGACTAGTGATAACTGCCAACAAAAAGAAAATTGGTTGGGAAGAATTTATTCAATACTCAAATGGACTGGAACTCAAACAGCCTATTGGAATGAATTAAGTTCAAGTACCAAGGTTACACTGTATCTAGCAATACAATTTTCAAGGCAATTTAAAAGGTAATTCTATTTCATTCAGTAACTTGTTTTACAGAACTTCACTGATATACATTAATCTTTATCATTAGGTCACTTACAGTAAACATGCTCATATTTTCCATTTATTATTATTTTTTTATTATCACACTGGCCGATTCCCACCAAGGCAGGGTGGCCCGAAAAAGAAAAACTTTCACCATCATTCACTCCATCACTGTCTTGCCAGAAGGGTGCTTTACACTACAGTTTTTAAACTGCAACATTAACACCCCTCCTTCAGAGTGCAGGCACTGTACTTCCCATCTCCAGGACTCAAGTCCGGCCTGCCGGTTTCCCTGAACCCCTTCATAAATGTTACTTTGCTCACACTCCAACAGCAAGTCAAGTATTAAAAACCATTCGTCTCCATTCACTCCTATCAAACACGCTCACGCACGCCTGCTGGAAGTCCAAGCCCCTCGCACACAAAACCTCCTTTACCCCCTCCCTTCAACCTTTCCTAGGCCGACCCCTACCCCGCCTTCCTTCCACTACAGACTGATACACTCTTGAAGTCATTCTGTTTCGCTCCATTCTCTCTACATGTCCGAACCACCTCAACAACCCTTCCTCAGCCCTCTGGACAACAGTTTTGGTAATCCAGCACCTCCTCCTAACTTTCAAACTACGAATTCTCTGCATTATATTCACACCACACATTGCCCTCAGATGTGACATCTCCACTGCCTCCAGCCTTCTCCTCGCTGCAACATTCATCACCCATGCTTCACACCCATATAAGAGTGTTGGTAAAACTATACTCTCATACATTCCCCTCTTTGCCTCCAAGGACAAAGTTCTTTGTCTCCACAGACTCCTAAGTGCACCACTCACCCTTTTCCCCAGACAACAACATTAATGTATTCCTTAAAAATTTTCCCAAATCAGTGCTCAGACCTCTTAACCTACTTTCCCCAACACCCTCATAGTATAAGCATAAATGCATTCTTGAGCCATAAGATTCCTGTTAAGTCATGAATCTAATCTGTTCATGCTTCTAAGTCTTCATTGAAAGGGCATTTCTATGAGCTAACAATCCTGATAATCCAAACTACTGTCACTTGTGAATATAAACTTCAGTAATCTTTTTTAACATGGCTATATGTATAATTTGATGTGTGAGCTATTATGAGTTTCCTGAAAGAACGATCACACAAGAATGATTAAGTACCAAATTATTATTGTTACTGTTGAAGAACAGTATTTGTAAGTACTATAATTAATGGCTCCAAGTGTCAATCATGTACCATGAAGGAAAGTGGCCCAGATCATGTACTGTGAAGAAAAGTGACCCAGATCATGTACAGATAATTATTAACTTTACGGTTGATAACGAGCAATGAAAACACCCTGTAAGTGCAACACATCATAACTCAGAATGTTGTAAGTCAGGACCCTACTGTACTGTACTGTACTCTTCACAGCATTTACTTACATTCTTGTAGCATGTCCACCCACAGCTGATATAACACAAATCCTTACAACTTTTGTTTCATTAAACTGCACAAATCTCAAACTAATATTTGTATTAATTCATTGCCATTAGCAGTGCACAGTACATTTAGATTTTCCTATTTTTTTTTTCATTTTACATCTATATTTAAATCAGTTCTAGGTAGTAGGTTGGTAGACAGCAACCGCCCAGGGAGGTACTACCGTCCTGCCAAGTGAGTGTAAAGCTGAAGCCTGTAATTGTTTTACACGATGGTAAGATTGCTGGTGTCTTTTTTTTATCTGTCTCATACACATGCAAGATTTCAGGTATGTCTTGCTACTTCTACTTACACTTAGGTCACACTACACATACATGTACAAGCATATATATACACACCCCTTTGGGTTTTCTTCTATTTTCTTTCTAGTTCTTGTTCTTGTTTATTTCCTCTTACCTCCATGGGGAAGTGGAACAGAATTCTTCCTCCGTAAGCCATGCGTGTTGTAAGAGGCGACTAAAATGCCGGGAGCAAGGAGCTAGTAACCCCTTCTCCTGTATATATTACTAAATGTAAAAGGAGAAACTTTCGTTTTTCCTTTTGGGCCACCCCGCCTCGGTGGGATACGGCCGGTGTGTTGAAAGAAGAAAGAAGATTTAAATCAGTAATTATATTCATCCAAAGTGCTAAACCTATAAGGGTCATTCAGTGCAAAATGGCAGATCTGAAGGTAAGAGGTGGTGTTAATGGAAGAGCACTGGCAGAAAAGGAGGAGTCCCAGCTGATTTAACAGATCTCTTAAGAAATCGTTAGTCTGCATTACAGGTGGGATCATCAGAGACCTACAAATGCACACAGTATTCATGTTATATTCTCATACCAAGTCTATGAGGAGCTCCTGTAACATTAATATTTCCTTGAGAATCATTACAGATTCATGGTTTGCATTTACTAGCAGTACTGCTAACAATCATCTCAAGTACCACTGGTAATGTGTAGTTATGAGGTGGAATAGAGAAACACAAATATCAAACATCATTTGGGAAGATTAACTCCCAGAAAATAGTCAATAAGTTTCCAACTAATAATTTGTTTGGTTAAAGCTTGCAAAAAAATTTTAGTGTTGCCAGAACAGAGGGCAAAATTATTTTCACTAAAGCTCAGCCATATTTTGTCAAGATAATTTTGTGCTATAAAATAATGTGGTTTCAATGTACAAAACTTGTACTTTTAAAAGCATATGCTCAAAAACAAGCACTGCCCAATGGTTTAATTTTTTAACACTGTTTCTTGCCAAAGTAGTGAAAAGAAAAATATTCAACAGCTGTTGTGTCAGAAGTGTGCAGCCATCACAGTTCAAATGAGTCTATGAAATGCAACATATCCACCCCACCTTCTGAGTGTAGGCACTGTACTCTCTTTCAGTTCCATGAGGTGAATTAGAATTCTTCCTCTGTAAGCCATGTGTGTCGTAGAAGGCATCTAAAATGTCATGAGCAATGAGCTAGTGACCCCTTCTCGTGTATCAATTACTAGAGAACAAAATTTTAAAAGCTATTGCAAAGTAAAGGATAAATATTTATGGGAAAATTGAAGTTAAAATAATAAATAGTGAATGACTGTTGCATCATTACTGTCCAGGTTATATATCTGGCTGAAGTGAAGCAAGTGTAAAATTTTATGCAATAAAAATTAGAATAGTTCACCAATACAAGTACAGTAGAACCTCTGTATTCGGATGCACCTTTATTCATAAAATCCAGTACACTGTATTTGGAAAAAAAAATTGAGGGAAAAAAATAGTACTGATATACACAAATGTCACTATTTGGAATGATGCATGTTTTTGAGCTCTTGTGATTCAGCTGTTATTTTTTTGTATAAATTTATGTTATTTTAATTTTATTACTGAAAATAAGTGATCATGGCCCTGAACAAGAATAGTGAAGAAAAAATAAAGAAAACTGTAAGAACCACCAATGAACTAAAAAAAAACAGGAACTTATTTCAAAACATGAAAATGGAATACATCTTGTTGACCTAGCCAAGAAATATGGCATGTCAACATCTACCGCTTTTATTATAAAAAATAAAAGCGCAATAAAAAGTGCTAATGTGGCAACATGGGTTAAAATTCTTGCAGGGATCATGTATGATTTTTTGCTTGTACATTTCTGGAATGAATTAATCCAATTTACATTATATCCCATGGAAAAAACTGATCCAATATTGACAAAATTCAATATTCAGAACACTCTCAGGAAGGAATTAATTCCAAATACAGAGGTTCTACTGTACCATAATGTAAGCAGGAAGAATATTAGCATAGCAACAAGTATATACAAAATAAGCACAGTACAGGCAAACTCCATTTAACAGCCAACAAATTAACTAAACTATCCTTTACCAAAAACAAGTTTTAGATATAGTGGGGCAGGGATGTAGCAGTTCAGAGAGTCATCAGAGCTGTGATGTCAGCATGCTTCTGAAAAGACAGTGACTGAACAAGTGATGGTGAAAATGATCGGTCAGTTTTACCTTGGCTGGAGATGACCAGGGTGTTTAAAAAAAAAAAATCAATGTTACCGATGTTGTGCCACCAGGCCCCAAACAGCAAGTCGCTTCAGAGAGATTACAACACTTATCAAAGATGTACGGTAGCTTCGTCCAAAGATACAGCATTAGATTATTTTAGTTGTGAGCATTTGTACTGGAGAATGTAGTGGCAATTTTCATATTATTCTCTTCAGACTAATAATTACCAGTCTGAAACACAGTGTGCTACAGAAGGTACTTCCAGTTAAGAGGACTTAAGGTATGGATTCAATTATTCTAGCTATGGTAGTGCAGGAAAAGCAAAACAAACATTAGTGAGGCATAAAACACAATACTAGAGAAAAAGGATGGGGGCTTTAAAACAATAGCAGGATGCTATTTAGTGCAAGCATAAAGGAACTATGATCCGTGCCCTCGAGACATACCGCACCACATCTTGAGTGGATCTCTCTGAATTAGCACATAAGATAAGGGCCTCCAGTTCATCATTCTAGCATTATTCTTTTCAAACTTTATTTTGGTTAGGACATGAAGAGAGCAAATGCTAGTCATTGAGTAGAGCATTTTATATGAAACATTAGATGTACTCAGTTTAATTATGGGTCAGCAAGTGCTGAAGGAAACAAATCTACAAAAATTATTTGCAAATTTCTAAATGTTTCTTCCTGTTTTATATAATGGAAAGACTGAAATTTAAATATCAAATTTTGGCAAGACAAAAGTGAGCAGTGTTGGGTTGCCTTCCTAACTTCCCATCTTATTTATAACAAAAAAGGCACAATACCATGACTTTGTAAATGGTCCAAGTTGGACAGAAATGTCGTCATGAGCTCCTCTCTCCTATATGCAGGTTGTTTGTGCATCTTATCATTTATTATGAATACTGTAATTTTTAACTGTTTGCCTCAAAGAAATACATAAAAAAAAAATTTTTATTGCATTTAACACCATCTAAGATGAGTTCTAAGAAGTTAATGCTAAAGAACGAAGTGGTTTAGAGGTTAAGAGAAGACAATTATCTTATAAAAATGTATAATCTATAGTATATAATGAATTTTGTGCTTCTCACATTTTCTTATTTTTTTCTATCACTATTTCTCATCCTCATTTTCTCTCATTCTCTCCATTTAGCAACAAAAATGTCAAGCAACCTACAAACAACAGAGCTGCACAGATGTTATCTGCTGACAAGATATGGGTGCTGCACACTTGTGCATGTATGCACATGCACACACAGTGGTATTCCGTAACATTACTGCCTATGATGAATATCAGTCTGTCCTCCCCTACCCCTCACACTTTCTCTCCTTTCTTTCTCCTACCCTATTCCTCCCTTTCTTCCCTTTACCCTCTGCCCCTTCTCTCATGCAACTCAAAGATGTTTAATTGCAAGATAAAATGAATGTTCATGTAATGGGGTTCTTAATATGTACATACTTTTGTACAGTTGAATATTTTTCTGCTTAAAAGAATGTGTAGTTTATTGGTTTCAAGGAGATGACATATCGATTAACCTGGATGCAGTTGGCAGTTCCCCAAGACCATAATTCCGTTAACCAGGGCCTACCTGTAGCATCTAGAGGAATAAAATAAAAATAAAGCAGATGCCCAGTAATCAATACGAATAAAAAATTATGGATTTATTTTAATTTTAGGTGGAAGTGATACTACAGCAAGTCTGCTGGATTAGCATCGATTGGTCCAGTAACCTCCCATATTGTGGCAGCAAGACGTCGAGTGTGTTCAAGTACACAAGGTGAGGTGGCTAGGCCAAGATGAACACAAAACAGCTCATAAACACGTATCCGATTTGGATCCATACCTGGGAATGCCTGAATACAGAGAGATCTGTAAAAGTCTTCACAGAGTACACCAGGTAAGGGAAGAGTCTCAATTATACTGCTGTGTAATTCACCAGGCTTTAGAGGGTTTCCACTACTGTCTTCAAACCAAAGGAAATATGCATAACTGAAAGTAGTATCCTTCCACATTAGAGACAGATGACCTTCAGTTAAGTGTGCACGTGCAAACTCAACCATGGACCACACTCTTGCAATTGTAAGTGCTCTAACACAATTTGCTGAAGAATTTGAGTCTTTAGTCAATTCACCTGATTCATCTGTCACGAGCGTAGGTGATGTTAGCTGATGGCTTGAACGGTCCACATATAGAAAATGAACTAACCCTGGAAATTCTTCTAAATACTTATTGATTGTAAGCCCAGAGCGACAACCCAATGTCATGTTCCTCAAAGCTTTTACCTCCAGGAAATGGCAATAATCAGCCATACGTTCTGCAGTCATAGCTACTGCAGATTCCACTAATGGAGCAGCGGTAGCTGTGCTAACTCCAAGGCAAGCAACACGCCATGCTGACCGAGCTGTGTCTATTAGAGAAGTGAGGGATGCATCCACACGTGTTGGAACTTCCACATCTCCTCCATTTCGTAACCATTCCTCAAGACCACTTTTTTTAATATTCTCCCATCGAAACTGAACCTGTAGGAGTAAAAGCAATTAATGGTAAATGAAATACAATAACAAATAAAAATACTTCTCAATATCCTATCAGTTCTGCACCCCTACTTTTACTACTCTGCAACACACACACACACACACACACACACACGGTAACTAACACACACCAAACACAGACACACACACACTCACACACACACACGGTAACTAACACACACCACACACAGACACACACACACACACACACTTGCACTCACTGCAATAGGTTAGTTTCATTAAAAAATGTCAGTGAGTTTCCTTTGAAGGTGAGATTTTCAGCGAGGTCAGTCAGTGAGTGTATCAGGGTGCTGTAGATATTGGTAGTGAATTGTGTGTTCTTCTGATAGCTAAGACAGTCAATTAAGACACGAAAAATTATTAGTATGGCCTGGTAGTACATGTACTACCAGAGAAATACTGGGTGTTTTTTGTAAGTGGTATCAGTGTTTATCATGGGTGTCCAGTTCAGTCAGGTGGAGAAGCAAAAATACCTGTACTTAGTGAGTCCTCTAGAAAGTTGATTAACTTTTTAAGTATCACAACATTGATCTTTGCATCTCCACACGCAGATCAACGCACTTTTTCCTGCATTCAAATTTTGCACCAGAGGCCTGATAGGCCTAGACAGTAGAGAATGGGTCTTTGCATTCTGTGTGTCATATTAGAAAAAAAAAATGGGATCCCATAGCAATTCGTGGGAGTACCAGTTCATTTGAGCACCAGCTAGAGGAAGAAGTATGGCTAACCCTGGGGATTCACTCTTGCTCCATCCTATTAACACACTTTTTCGAGCAGAGTGATGTTAACCCCGAGTTTAGTGGCATTAAGATGGATATGGCCGCGGGCGATTGAGAAAATATCGAAAACCTGCCCCTCAACAGCAGCCAGAGGTTGAAGCACCTGAGCTATTCTTTGTGCTTAACAGTATTTTATTACATGTAAACTATACTTTGTATATTACATAAAAAAACTGCTTGTTTATTGCAGCCTAAAAATCACTTCCTCATACTACTACCATCTACTCAGAAAAAAAGTATTTTCAGAAAAGGTGTGCTGTGTGTGCCTGCAGTACAAGGTGACCCCAACAGCAAAAGGATTTGTAGACAATACTATGTGATCAAGGCATGTGGACATATTTACCTGTCAGTGTGTAAATATGTGTCTGTGACTGTTTCATTATTATTTCTGTACCAAATATTTGTGTCAGAACATTCAGTGGCTATGAAACCAAAATTGTAAATATCAGATCATAAAAATTGCATAAATTAAAAAAATAAGAAAAAAACAGGTTATCTGATGGATTTCTCCGAGCAGCAGGGCTCCACGTTGCGTTCATGTAAGCATCCAGTGCCAACCACACTGCTCTTATATCTCGATAATTTTTTTTTTTTGTAAAACGTCAGGGTGACCCAAAAAGAAAGAAAAAACTTTCATCATCCAACACTTCAGCCATCACTCATACATAATCCCTATCTTTGCAGGGGCACTCAGACACAACAGTTTAGATGTCCCTCCACACTGCCAATATCCCAAACCCCTCCTTGAAAGTGCAGGCATTGTACTGCCCATTTCTAGGGCTCAAGTCAGGCTAACCAGTTTCCCTGAATCCCTTCACAAAATATTAAACTGCTCACACTCCAACAGCTCGTCAGGCCCCAAAAACCATTCACTCCTATCTAACACGCTCAAGCACACTTGCTGAAAATCCAAGCCCTTCACCCCCATAACCTCCTATACTCCCTCCCTTCAACCTTTTCAACAAAGACCACTACTCTGCCTTCCTTTTCCTACAGATTTATATTCTTTCCAAGTCATTCTACTTTATTCCATTGTCTCTAAATGACAAAACCACCTCAACAACCCCTCTTCAGTCCTCTGACAAATACCTTTACTAAATCCACAATTCCTAAATTCCACACTACGAATTCTCTGCATAATATTTACACCACACATTACCCTTAGACATGACATCTCCACTGCCTCTGGCCTCCTCCTCGCTGCAGCATTTACAACCCATGCTTCACACCCATATAAGAGTGTTGGTACCAATATATTCTCGTACATTCCCTTCTTTGCCTCCATGGATAACGTTTTTTGTCTCCACAGATACCCCAATACACTACTCGCCTTTTTCCCTTCATCCATTCTGTGGTTAACCTCATCCTTCATAAACCCATCTGCTGACAAGTCAATTCCCAAAAATCTGAAAACATTCACTTCCATACTCCCTAACTCCAATGAGATGTTCAATTTTTCCTAATCTAAATTGTTTGATACCCTCATCACCTTACTTTTAACTATGTTCATTTTCAACTTTCTACCTTTACACACCCTCCACTAACATTTGCAACTTTTCTTTAGAATCTCCCAAAAGCACAGTATCATCAGCAAAAAGTAATTGTGTCAACTCCCATTTTGTATTTGATTCCCCATAATTTAATTCCACCCCTCTCCCCAACACCCTAGCATTTACTTCTTTCACAACCCCGTCTATAAATATATTAAACAACCATGGTGACATTATACATCCCTGTCTAAGACCTACTTTTACTGGGAAGTAATCTCCCTCTATACTACACACCCTAACCTATGCCTCACTATCCTCATAAAAATCTATACAGTATTTAGTAACTTCCTATTCCATATACTTGCAACATCTGCCACATTGCTCCCCTATCCACTCTATCATATGCCTTTTCTAAATCCATAAATGCAATGAAAAGTTCTCTATCTTTAAATACTGTTCACATATATGCTTCAATGTAAATGATCTACACATCTACATAATGCCTCATGCACCTCCCCCACACTCACATCCTGCTCTTCTTCACTCCTAAAAGATACCATGCCTCCCTGGCCAGTGCATGAATTACTGCCTCCCTTTCTTCAACAACATTTAAAAGTTCCTCAGAATATTCCTGCCACCTAAACAATACCTCAAACTCCCCATCTACTAAGTCATCTACTCTGTTTTTAACTGACAAATCCATTTGTTCCCTACGCTTTCTTAACCTGTTTATCTTGCTCCAAAATTTTTTCTTATTCTCAGCAAAATTTGTTGACAGTGCCTCACCCATTCTCATTAGCTCTCCTTTTGCACTCTCACCACTCTCTTCACCTTTCTTTTACTCTTCATATACTCTGCCCTTCTTATGTAATTTTTATGTTGTGTTCTTGGTGCTAGCATTCTTGGTCACTCAGACTCATCACTCACCAACACCACATGTTGGTCACTCAGGCTCATTACTCACCAACACCACATGTTGGTCACTCAGGCTCATCACTCACCAACACCACATGTTGGTCACTCAGGCTCATCACTCACCAACACCACATGTTGGTCACTCAGGCTCATCACTCACCAGGACCACATGTTGGTCCCTCAGGCTCGTCACTCACCAACACCACATGTTGGTCCCTCAGGCTCATCACTCACCAACACCACATGTTGGTCACTCAGGCTCATTACTCACCAGGACCACATGTTGGTCACTCAGGCTCATTACCACCAGACCACATGTTGGTCACTCAGCTCATCACTCACCAGGACCACATGTTGGTCACTCAGCTCATTACTCACCAGACCACATGTTGGTCACTCAGGCTCATTACTCACCAGACCACATGTTGGTCACTCAGGCTCATTACTCACCAGGACCACATGTTGGTCACTCAGCTCATTACTCACCAGGGCAACATGTTGGTCACTCAGGCTCATTACTCACCAGGACCACATGTTGGTCACTCAGGCTCATTACTCACCAGGGCCACATGTTGGTCACTCAGGCTCATTACTCACCAGGACCACATGTTGGTCACTCAGGCTCATTACTCACCAGGACCACATGTTGGTCACTCAGGCTCATTACTCACCAGGACCACATGTTGGTCACTCAAGCTCATCACTCACCAGGACCACATGTTGGTCACTCAGGCTCATTACTCACCAGGACCACATGATGGTCACTCAGGCTCATTACTCACCAACACCACATGTTGGTCACTCAGACTCATTACTCACCAGGACCACATGTTGGTCACTCAGGCTCGTCACTCACCAACACCACATGTTGGTCACTCAGGCTCATTACTCACCAGGACCACATGTTGGTCACTCAGGCTCGTCACTCACCAACACCACATGTGGTCACTCAGGCTCGTCACTCACCAACACCACATGTGGCACTCAGGCTCATCACTCACCAGGACCACATGTTGGTCACTCAGGCTCGTCACTCACCAACACCACATGTTGGTCACTCAGGCTCATCACTCACCAGGACCACATGTGGTCACTCAGGCTCGTCACTCACCAACACCCAAGTTGGTCACTCACCCGTCCTCCCCCCATTGTCACACACTACACCACAACCACTTTGGTCACTCACGCTCGTCACTCCAACCCACACCACATGCTGGCTTCACTCAGGCATCATCCACTCACCAGGACCACATGTTGGTCACTCAGGCTCGTCACTCACCAACACCACATGTTGGTCACTCAGGCTCATCACTCGCCAGGACCACATGTTGGTCACTCAGGCTCATTACTCACCAGGACCACATGTTGGTCACTCAGGCTCATCACTCACCAGGACCACATGTTGGTCACTCAGGCTCATTACTCACCAACACCACATGTTGGTCACTCAGGCTCATTATTCACCAACACCACATGTTGGTCACTCAGGCTCATTACTCACCAGGGCCACACGTTGGTCACTCAGGCTCATTACTCACCAGGGCCACATGTTGGTCACTCAGGCTCATTACTCACCAGGACCACATGTTGGTCACTCAGACTCATCACTCACCAGGACCACATGTTGGTCACTCAGGCTCATTACTCACCAGGGCCACATGTTGGTCACTCAGGCTCATTACTCACCAACACCACATGTTGGTCACTCAGGCTCATTACTCACCAGGGCCACATGTTGGTCACTCAGGCTCATTACTCACCAGGGCCACATGTTGGTCAC